CACATACACATACACATACACACACACAAAATTCCAACAAGTCGATGCATTTTTGATCATTGCTTTGTCTGCCAGTGCGCCCTGAGTTCACAGACACACTGGCCATCAAGCAGGGTCGTCACCCCATTCTGGAGCGGATAGTTGGACAGCAGCCTGTATCGAACAATAGCTACATCTCCGAGGGCAGCAACTTTGTCGTCATCACTGGACCCAACATGAGCGGCAAATCCACCTACCTCAAGCAGGTGGCGCTGTGTCAGATCATGGCTCAGATAGGTCAGCGGCAAACAGTTCAGCCTCTCATGAATTTGGAGTACAAAGCTGCACAGTGCTAGGCATGCACTTGGCTGGATGTTTGAGTAATGCCATTACATCATTATTCCAGGCTCTTTTGTCCCTGCTGAGTACGCCTCTTTCCGTGTTGCTGACCAGATTTTCACCAGAATAGGTGTGGATGATGATTTTGAAACTAATTCTTCCACCTTCATGTTGGAAATGAAGGAGGTATGTTTGTGTGTTTGTGTCTTTTTTTAGCATTAGGGCTGCTGATGATCTTTAATTACATATATGAGGGAACTAAAATCACAAAATGATGATTGACTGCATATCTACTCCCCAAAGATCTCTTACATAATCCACAACGTGAGCGACAGGTCCCTGATCATCATAGACGAGTTGGGGCGGGGTACCAGTGCTGAGGAGGGCATCGGCATTTGCCACTCAGTTTGTGAGTTCCTTCTTAGCCTCAAGGTAAGAGTATGCACTTATCCAACCCTGCACTGATATTCCTTTGTCTAAGATGAAAACCAGTTTAACCAGATTCGTATGCTCTATATGACTTGTTTAACTTGTTGTCGGTTGTGTCACACCTCTTTGATCAACAGCAAAGAAGCAAAGTCAATACAGGAATAGCTCGTCTTTTTAGTTTTCTAAAGTGCGTGCTGTTTCCCGGCTGTTTGCAGGTGTTCACCCTGTTTGCCACACACTTTCTCGAGCTGTGCCAACTAGAGTCTCTTTATCCCAACGTGGAGAACCAGCACATGGAGGTTCAGCACACACGCAGTGGTGACACTGGTGCAGAGAGTGTTGTGTATACATACTTGCTGAATCGAGGATGCTCTGAAGAGCGACACTATGGTACAGAAACCAGTGAAATCTGACTACAATCCTGTGGAAACTGGTCATGAAAAAAAGGTTACAGAGCTTGTTTTTGCTCTTCTAGGTCTGAGAGCAGCAGAAATGACGGCACTTCCCTCAAACATAATCCAAGAGGCAAAGATGATTGCCTCCAAAGTTAGCCAGCAGCTTTTGGTATGATTCCTGAAAAATAAACATATTGGACCCTGAGAGTCGAAGGCTGTACAGTGACCGATAGCACAAATATTCCCTGTGAAAGGAACAGTATCCATGGTGTGGTTTATTATTGTTCTAGGCCAAACATCACAGTGATCCAGGAACACAGAGGCAGAGAGCGGCGTATAAGCTGGCCACCCGCCTCCTGCAGACTGCCAGGAACTCCAGACTGGACCGTGACAGCTTGCGTATGTATCTGAAGGGCTTAAAGAAGCAGTATGAGGCAGAGCTGCTGGCAGCAGGGCAGCCAGCGTCAATTGACACAGAAGAGGAATGACTGATTCAGCCTGAAATTAGTCATTCAAAAAGATAATTGTTGATGTATCATTACTGGGCATATTGTGTTGAGATTGACATATTTAATAATAAATGAATTTCTTTGAATTTCAGTGGTCATGGCTTTCTTTTTAGACAGTCTATTAAAAATAATATTATACCACATGTTAGTTTGGAAAATGTTATCTAAAACATTGTTGCAAAATATGTGTTGCATCCCTAAAGTAACACTGTCCTTATACCATAACAAATTAAAATAAACTTAGTATGGTTAGGTCACAAGATATACAACAGACATAGTGAAAGTACACATATAATGTGCTCGTGTTTTATGGACTTTGGGGAAGTGCAATGACCACTCCCCTCTTTGATTTTTGCCGAAAGTAAGATTTATGAGCCGAGGCTGTCTCGAAAAGGCGGGGCTTGCTCTTGTTTTTTCCTTGCGTAATAACGTCTCCTGACGGTGTACCTGGAGTCACAAAACAAGCGTTCCCCTGCAGCCTCCCTATGACCCGCCCCCGCGAACCAGAAACAGGAGATAGTCTGACGGATAGCGCAGAAGAAAGCCAGGCTGGAGCTGACCCGGGAAGTCGGAAGTCTGCAAGAGTCAACGCAGAACAACGCCATTTCACCACCAGTTAAGGGAACAGCAAACTGACGCTACAGGTATGCCGTGTTTATCGGCGACATGTTGTTTATTTCTTGTCGAAAGGCCGCGCATCTCAGTCTTAGCACAGCTAAGCTCTTTACCCGGGCCTGGGAACGGCCCTCAGGACTTGAACGGAAGAATGAAGCCGCAGACCGGGTCAGAGATTTCAGGAGAGAGGGAGGCTGGGTCAAGACGAGGCCCGTGGGGGCAGACGTCCACGCCTCCATACGGGCTGCGTGTATGTGAAAGATATACACTTGGGTGTTTTGTTAAAATTTAGGTGGTCGGTTTCACCCCTGAACACTTCCTCTGTAACGTTACTCATAATTGGTTTGGTGGACGAACGGTAGGTAGTACGTGGCGAACGTTAGTTGGCTAGCTTCTACGTTAGCTAGCTCATTCATAACGCTGAGCTCGAGCCACTCTGAGACTAACTTGGGTCCCGAGACGCCTTTTTCCCCTGTAAGGATATATCGTTCAAAATAACTAGTGTAGCAACTAGGTTAACGTTACTTTTACCGTTAGCTAGCCTCCACTGTTTCAATACACGTTTTTTTGCAAATCATGTCGGTGAAGTGAGCCTGTCGTCGACATGTGTGCCTCTTGTTTCGCTTTTATGATTTATTTGATTGTGGCGTTAATGTGTGACTTGAGTTAGCTGGGCTAACTTAGGCACCGAAGGTTAACGCTGTAGCTCGTGTTAGATCAGATCTGATGTATCTGTGATTGCAGGATGTATCACCAAGCAGTCTTCTTGGTGTAAGAACAGCTGCCATTACGTATCTTGGTCCAATAGTGTGCACAAGGCCGGCGATTAGACATGACCGAGCATGCTGGGACATTTGGTACTCTACCATTGTGAACTGCCCTTGATGAATTTTGAGGAGGCTTCCTGGACATCAAAGACCAGTCGTGGTGTTGTACCTTGTTTATGGTACTTAAAATAAATGAAACTTGTGTTGCTACATCTGCAATAAGGTGGTGACTAAATATATGACCGTCACACTTTATCTGAATCTGTCAAAGCACCTCATGACCCCACTTTTAGAAACTTTGGCTTTAAGAGTCCATAAAGTTATTCCTGAGCTTCTCCTGTCTTTTGGCGTAGTGTCAGTCTGTCTTGTTGGCTTCTTTGTCGATTTCTTTGAAGTCTATCTGTAGATGAGCTCTTATCTCAGGTGTCTTGGTTGTACTGTTTTCTATACCACACTCTCATGTTTACATGTTGTGGCCTGACCAGGAAGATCAGACGGGTTTCCCCACTATAATCGGATGCCCCACTGTGTACTTTGCTACTTTCTGTTTAGTTTATTACTGTAATACTGATAATGGTAAAGTATTAGATTGTCATCTTTGCAGCCCAAATATTCAGACACTCATCTCCCAATTCTCTCACCCATTGCTCTAAACTAGAATATTTGAACTATCTGTAGTCATTGAAACTTTAAAGATAAATGGTGCTGTTATCGGAGAGTAAATGTAGTTCCATGGTCTTGTTTTTTTCTTTTCGAAATCATGTCTAAAATGTGTTTATTACACACATGACCTTTACAGTTGCAGAACAGATAACGTATTTTGTAAACAAATTATTATTTGATATGACATTTTGTATAATTATAAACTTTTGAGCCATTTTGCAAAGCACTAGCACCATCATAGTCTACGTGTAGAGTGCTGCATGGACTTGTTCTCAAGTACGGTCTGGACTGCTTTTTGGGCCCGATAGTTATCAGGAGTTTTCTCTCTGTTCGCGTCTGCCAAATCAGGAGGCTTGTCCAGCCAAGTGGCTAGATTCCGGGCAGCCAACAGCCCGAGAGGGCTTTGTCCTCGGGGCTCATTCTAATGCTGGGACAGGGCTCCGGCTACACAAGGAAACTCTTGCACCTTCCACTCTGAGGCCTGGGACTGAAAGGAAGAAAGCAATAAATCGGGCTTCAAAACGTTTACGCCACTTACTCCACCCATACTTAATGTCAAGAAGCAATGTTGCTTTGAGAATCATTTCGCAGCTTCATTTAGTCGGACATAGGCGTTTCCTGGAACATACAATGAATGTGACGTAAAAAATAACTTCCTGATTCAGTAGCCACTGAAAGGTAGCAGTTAAAACCTTGTTACCCAGTTCATCCGTGGTGTGTATGAGGTGTACTATGGCTTCTTTATATCTTTGGTGTTATTTTATAAAACTTTGGCCTAGTTGATTAATTTCTACGTTTTAGACATTTTAGTCTTACTCTCCAGACCACTGAAAGGCGTTTTTGTTCTTGGCATGCTGCTCATTGGCCTTAGTCTGTGCTTTCTGTGTTGTCATTGTAATACGACACACTTTCCAATGAAGTAAACTGCAGAAGATAAGAAAAAAACAAAAACTCAAAGTCCAATATTTTCATGTTTCCACTGTGCTCTATAAGCCAACTTCTACATGCCTAGTCACATACACATAGTATGAGTTTACCCCCTGCTGTAGCCTATGGAGTGTGAAGGATGCGTGCTCTTTGATACAGATGCCATACAAACACCTCAGAAGAAGTGTTTGCATTGAATGTATAAAGCAAAATAAACATTTAATAAACTAGTAAGATCCGCCAATCCCATGTATTCATGAAGCCAGCGTCAAAGCTCTTCTAAAAATGGCGTAATATTTTTTCAGAGTAAAATGTGTCAAAAATTAAACATTAAAACAGGCCTGGTACATTTTTGTGTGTTGCGGAAGATGTAATTGGAGGTTTTTTGAGATGGGAGTGAAACGGGGTCAACATTGCACTATAAAGCTAAGTCTGTCAGTCCTCAGGAAGCCCCGTAGTGGAAAGTTATTCTTAAATGTATTATCATGGGTAATCTGCTTAATCCAAATGACTAAAGAGGTCTGGTCTACGACGCTGACTCCTACACTATATTACTGCCACAGATCCTAGGTATAGGATGGGATTGTGCAGCACTTCAGGTCACTCACTGTCGGTGCCACTTGCATTGTTGACAACACAACGCTGCTGTTGTAACCCAGGGCTTAAATTGTCCCAGTTTTTCAAAAACGGTGCTTTTGTTGCTCAAGGCATCGCTGTTTGTAAGTTTGCAAGACATACTCTCCAGATGCAATAATGTTTGGAAAGAGATCTATTTATTTTACAAGAATCCTTGGCTCTATTATTGACTTTATCTCTTCAAACATCGCAGCAACACGTAGGGATTTTTGATATGCCCCAGTGAAGAAGATGGGGCATAACGGAGGAAAATCAAGAGAACTGAAGGCTCTCTGTTTGAACAATCTGATAACTTGTCTTGAGTAATCGCATTAATTTATATACCTATACAGTCCACTTTATCTTAGCAGCCATCTCCTGAGGGTCATTTATTACAGTTGGTTTGGTTTATAGTGGCTTTTAATGATTCATTGTGTCTTTTACATTCTTACTGCGTAGCCTTGAAGAGACAAACATTAGCTTGGGTAGATGCTAATTTGATTAAGTCTCAGGACCTCTTCACTCTGTTTGCCTGCAATGGAAGAAGAACCCCCCCCCACCGTCCCCGCGTCCCGTCCCGTGGCTTGAAGCAGGCAGGGGTTAAACTGCAGCTGCAGCAGACCTCATCGGGTGACACTTGCATGTGTATTTTTGCCTCTTGCAAATCCATCTCATGAGTTTCAAATACCACCATATCGTCTCCGTGGGGGCTTAAGGAGGGAAGTGAAATAATGCAGCCAGTCATCTTCTTTTTAGACTAGTTGTCTCTCTGATGTTGTTGATCTATATTGTCCCCTGTTAAACCAATCTATCTGGTTCTCACCAAGCTTATTGTACATGAATCCATATAAAGATGGGGAATTCAGGCTGTCTCGCTGGGGTGGTGTTATCTAATTGGATCATATCACTAAGAGAGGACAGGGTGTCAGTGAGAGTCCTTTCATTCACACCCTCTCAACACCATTAGTGGACTAACACCTCCACCTCTCATATGTCAAACCTTCACCAGTTCATCCATAGCAAATAGATTCATTTTCATTCAATCTTTAACATGTTATGTTCTTGTGATCTATGGATTTGAGCAGCCTCTTGCCTTTGTTGGCAGAAAGCCATTACCTCAATGTCATACATTAAATATATGGAAAATATTGGCAGATGCCAGACTATGTTGACTGTTTGCCAAGTGGCCTACATTTTTATTTATTTTTTATTTTTCTTGTCTTCAGAATGGCGATGGATATCTACGACTCTCAGTACCTGCTGATCCTGGCCCCTTCCCTGGTCATTGCCCTCATGTTCCTCTTCTTCTGGCTCTTCATGAAGGAAACCTCCTACGATGAGGTTCTGGCCAGGCAGAAACGCGACCTCAAGCTACCACCATTCAAGCCAGAAACCCGGAAGAAGAATGAAAAAAAGAAGAGCAAGAAGAAGGAGATTGCCAGCGGAGGTGGAGGTGGCGGCGGAGGTGGAGGAGAGTCGGAAGAGGATCTTCGGGATTTTGATGTTGCTGATGGCGCCAACGGCTCCACTCTGGAGGTAGAGGAGGAACCTGCACCAGTAGCTACACCAGATCCTGCTCCACCGTCACCAAGTCCCAATGTGCCTGTTTCAGTGTCACCTGAGGCACCTACTGGTCTGAGGGAGAGAAAGAAGAAGGAGAAAAAGGCTGCCAGGGCTGCTGCAGCGGCCGCTGCCGCCGCCGCCGCTGCTGCAGCAGCTCCTTCTGAGGAGCCTGAAGTGAACGGCTCACAGCCGATCAGTCGCAAAGCACAGCAACCTTCCTCCCCTCAGCTTGAGGTCCAGGTCCAAGCCGCTCAGGCTCCTGTCCAGGCTCAGACACCTCCCCAGATCTCTGGGAAGAAAAAGGAGAAGAAGAAACAAAAAACCGAGTCTGGTGAGTAGCTAATAGTGCAGTTAAAAGTGGGTGTGCCACCGAGCAATTTCCATCTTTTCCATGAGAAACTAACAATTCAATGAATTTCTCCTAAGTTACAGTGAATGACCAGCAGCCAGAGGTGATAGCTGAGCAGCATCCAGCTCCAGTCAAGAAGGAGGCTCCTATTATGTCTGAAACCAGAGTTATGGACGGTGCAACCCCAGCGGCTACCGGTGGCAAGAAGAAGAACTCTGCCAAGAAGCAGAAGACCGAGCATACTAATGGTGATGCAGCGGTCGCACATGCTAAATTAGTTTTTAAATATGAGGACTTGCACACAAACCAAAGCCTAAACCTGTCACCTTGTAAATCCAGTAGATGAAGCCCATGTTCTGGTTGACAATGTAACTCCTGCCAACCACCAAGCGGGCCATAACGATGATGTGCCATCCAAAGGGAGTGGCAAGAAGCAGAAGAATGAGACTGACAAAGGCAAGAAAAAAACCCAGTCTGAACCAGTATTTGCTTCTTTTTTTCATATATACTCTCCAGCCATATAATAATGTGCTAAATTGCATTCTCTATCTTGTGTGTTTCAACAGAGAACACAGGGGTGAAGCTGAAGGAGCTGCTGTCTGGTCTGTCCAGCCTGCCTCTGTCAGAGGCCGAGGCTGTCAGTGTGATGGTTCTCCTCCGGGAGAAGAGCCCCAATGCATTGGATGCCTGGCACAAAGTGAGAGATTAATAAATGTTACATTTGGTATTTGTAGTTGTACCTTTTTTTTTTTTTTGTAACGTTATGTGTCTCACCACCAGTCTGCAGGTAGGCCTGACCCAGCTGCACAAGAACGAGAGAGACTTCTTACAACTCTGCAGGAGGAGGCTTCCATTGCAAAGGACAAAGTGAAACAGCTTAGCCAGGTCTGGATTCCTATGTTCTACTTAGTGAAGTCCTTGATGTAATAAATGATTTAATGATTGTATAGTGTATAGAGTAATTCCATTTGTTTCGGTGAAGAGCTTCATATGCCGTCTTACTTCTGTGCTTCAGGAGCTTCATGTTGAGAAGCAAAAGACAGGCCGGGTGGAGGCCGTGATGAAAGAGCAACGTACAGCCATGGAGAAAGAACTGGGCAGCATGCAAGGCAAAGCACAGGGCAGCTACCAGGAGCTTCAGACCATGCAGATAAAGGTTTGCAACAGTACAGTTATTACATTATATTAGACACTGCTATTATCAGTACTGTGGGGGAAAAATGTGAAGGAACCCAGACCTCTTTTGGCCTTCTTCTCAAGGCTTAAACCTCTTGTTTATGTGTAGTTCCAGCAGGTGAGGGAGCAGCTGGAAAGCCAGATCACTCGGCTGCAGCAGGAGAACTGCATTCTGAGGGACGCAGTCAGCTCTGCCACCAACCAGATGGAGAGCAAGTCAGTGTTGCACTACAATAGACAATACCCTACTGGTCATGCTCTCTAGAGTGTCATAAATGGCTCATCTGCTCATCTTGGTGAAACAGTCCTAGGGATTCTATTCATATTTGAATTTCACATCATTGTCTCTATATTTTAGCTCAGATCTGAACATTATCTTCTGTCACATTAAGAGATCCATCTGTATGCACAGTAACAGCATATGAAATGCCCCATACATTCATCAACAACATCCCACAATAATGCCCCCATTAACCATTTTCACTTCACTCATTTGCGCTTGTGTGCATTTCTTCCTTGATAGGAATTCAGCAGAGCTGAACAAGCTGCGTTCTGAGTACAGCGGTCTGATGAAAGAGCTGGCAGACAACAACAGCAAGTTGCAGCAGGAGGAGCACCAGAGGAAGTCACTGGAGGTCAACTACAAGCAGAATGTGTCCCAGCTGGAGGTACACTAATCCAGATGCACAATATGTTTATTTAGCCTGTGCTTCAGTATCCCCAGCCGAGAGATGAAAATGAACTGAGCCGTGCCGCACGGCTTCAGATCTGGTTAGCCGGGTGTGGAAGCATTACCAAGGAAATGGGAGGAGGTTGTAGTGTAAATCCAGGGGTGGGAGATGTGTGGGAAACAGAACCTGAGTTGGGAGGATTGTGTTGGCTTGGGAAGCTAGAACGTTTGAGGCTTTTGTGCTGTGTATAAACACTTTCCTGTGAGACACCGAGAGCAGCCTTTCCTGTCTTTTCATTGTCAACAATCAAAGTCGGAAGTTTAAGTTGCTGGCTTTACACAGAAGACTCTCGGCAAAGAACCTGGTAGCCATGCCAAGAGTTGATAGTTTGATGACAGAAATCCGTTTTTCTTTATTGCACAAAATACAATTCTAACGTGGACAGGATGTTTTGTAATGTGGACTTGCCCGTAACTTAGTTTGGCAGATCCAAAGTTGTGTTTCAATTCTTGAGGAAAAAGAAATCCAGTGAGAGGGAAGAAGATTGGTGGGTGTCATTTGTTAGTTTACCTGGTGTTGCGTGGCGGTACTGCACTTGTGTATTATAATTTGTTGGAGAATAGTGATCGTCAAATTGGATACATCTCTCCATCCCCAGGCCCAACTGCAGGATGCTAAGCGACGTTGGGAAGAACTGCAGAACTTCCTCCACAATGTCAATGCTGAGAGAGAGAAACTCCAGGCCTCAAATAAAGGTGATTAAAATACATCACAGTGATCCTATAACTTAATCTTTCCACTGTATTGAAGTGAATCGACGGGCTACTTTCAGCAGCTGATTGTCTGTGTGTCTGTGTGGCTGCAGAGCTTCACGGCCAGCTTTTGTCAGTGGAGACTGAGATGAACAACAAGAACAAGGAGATCCAGACCCTACACAGCAGTCTGACTGAAAACATGCTTTCCAAGGATCGGCTGGAGCAGAGAGTGATGGATCTTATGGAGATGTCCCAGCACAGTATGCCTGATGACTCGCTGCAAATCCGGGTTCAGGTGAGCAACACCTCAACATCCTACACAATGTTACAGTACGTCTTTACTTGTATTGGATCCAATTATATATGTGTGTGTTTAACAGGACCTTATGAATGAAAACAATGGTCTTCAGGTCCAGAGTGAGACCCTGCAAGTCCATAATGAGACACTGCAGGCCCAGATCTCTTCACAGGTATATGGGTCAACCACATTCATCTGTGTGTAATAAGACAAAGATGCCAGCCTGCCTTACAATATGTATGTAGGCTAATAACATTTGTTTTTTTCTCATTTAGGTCACCCATGTCTCTCACATGGAGGAGCTGCAGAAGCTGTGAGAAACAATTTTGATGTTTTCAGACCTAGCGACTGCATTACGAGTGAAACTGTTTCTCATGTGCTCTCCCAACTCTTCCCCTGCTCTCCTCAGATTGGCTGATAAGGAGTTGCAGAGAAAGAGTCTGGAGGATTCTCTAAATGCTGAGAGGAGCAGTGGGGCCGGTAGAGAAACCAACATGCAGGTATAGTCACCATCTACAGCTTCCTATACTGACACGCCATTGGTTCATTAGTCTGCTGGAATTTAGTGAAAGGTGTTCGAGGCCTCTTTGTGTTGAGAGGGAATATGGATTGAAGACCATGTGCACCATCCTGCTAGAAACGGGGCATGTTGGATCACATTTGCAGATATTTTGAGTGCCATTGCCAAACGGATATCATTTATTTCACAGCTTTATAAACCTCAGACATGCTTGTAGAGTGTTGTGTCATTGCTCAAACTAATGCACTGTCGTCTCTCTTTCCTGTTTGTTCACCTGCAGGCCTTGCACAATGACAACATGTCCCTAAAGGCAGAGGTCCACAATCTGCAGGCACTGATTTCTGATCAGGTTAGCCGTGTACCTTTACCTTGTTTTTCCAAATATAAAAGGCTGGTATGTGTTTGTGCATTCTTCTGGTTGACACACCCACTCTGTTTGACTCTCCCCATGCAGACTGCCTCCCAACTGGCTTTGGACCAGTTCCAGAAGAGGTGCGTGTGTGGAACACTGGAACATAGTTTGAATGCTTTAGCTGGTTGGGCTTGTTACTAATAAGTCCTAATGAATATCTGAATTACTTTCTAAAACTTTGCTTCCTACCCAGTGTCCGAGAGAAGGACGACAACATGAGAACCATAGAGGACCTGCTCGAGAAGGGGCTGATTGAAGTGGCCAACAAGGAAGAGCAGCTCAAGGTGTTTTTCTCTTGTGCTGCCTCACACTCATTTAACTGACATCAGCAGGCTTTAAGGGACTCTGCATTTTACTTCTTGCCTTGTAATCACAAACCCTAATGGGCAAAAATCTTTAAGTCATTTCTGTCCCTGATGCAGGCTGTAAGAGAAGAAAATGAGGCACTAAGAGACGAAACCGAGGCCCTAAAAGAAGAAACCGAGGTCCTGAAGAGAAAGACAGCAGAACAGGCGAGTTGTCTAAAATCTTCACTGAAAGGAGTTTCTGGTTTTTCACAACTTATTCTGTACTCATTTCTTTTTGAATTGTCTTCTCCACTAATCACAGGGATCATCAGAGTCCATAGTGGAAGAACTCCAGATAATGTAAGAGCAATCAAGTTCACTTTTGATATTTTGGAATCATGCCAATGTAATAGTACATAATCATCTGATCACCCAACCCCATCCACAGCACACAAAGACTCTTAACTTTCGTTTCCTTAATGTCTGTCAGCAAGCGGCAGCAGCTTTGCCAACCAGCTGATTCATCTCAAGTCATAAGTACATGTTATGAGACCAATGAACATTACTTACTCTACTGTAAGCATTTCAAAGCAAATTCCTCCTGACACTACCGCCTACTCCCTATGCATACCCCTGATAGCAATTCTCCACTAGCACGACAGGCTTAGTAGTGTTAAATGTCCTCTTGCAGGGGGTAGCATTATATTTGTAATTCTGTGTGACTTCAAACTGTTCTGTATGATGAACCGTTGCTCACTTTGCTTTATAGGATCAAAGAGAAGGATGTGATGCTAAAATCTATGGAGGAGAGTCTACAGACGGCACAAGACGGCAGCTCTACCAGAGAGAAAACGGTAGAGGTACGGGCTTGCATTTTGGGTTTGCATTTTGAAGTGTTTCCCTTTTTTTATTGTTCATGCTGTGTTGTCCTACTTTGAGCTCTTGTCTGAGAGGTTTTTTGTCTCTCAGGCTCTGGAGCAGCAGTTGGCTGCCCTGCAGGCGGAGATGGAGCAGCTGAGACAGAGGGAGACGCCAGAAGAGTTGACCCGTTCTGGTACCCAGCTCCAAGAACTTCAGGCTCAGTAAGTTAACCCCCACACTTGAACATGTAGTCCTCTAGCGTTGCCTTGCAAATCAGACTAATGATGAGCACATCTGACCCACAGGCTAGCAGTGAAGGACCATGACATCCAGATGCTGCAGGCTGAGCTGGAGGCAAGAACTAAGGAGCTGAGTGAGAAGGTGGAGCAGGTCCATCAGCAGGTGAGGAACAAAGAACTGCTTACTCATCGGAAGTGTGGCATATTTTATGGTTGGATTGCTAGTTAACATAGGAGAACAAATTTTGTTAGCGGAAGTTGGCTCTTTTGACTAGTGACTCAGAAAAGACCAAAGAGTTCATGTTTGAACTGTTATTAAATTTCCTCTTTTTTTCTATGAGAGTAATAAAGAGATCAAATCCTCATTCATTCGTAGTTTTAATTGAGTCTTTTTCCCTCCAAATAGCAGTCTCACACTGCAGTGCCAAGCCCAGAGCTTCTTACAGCGTGAGTAATGTTACGATAAAATACATCTTTCCCACATGTTTTCATTTTAAAGGCCCTTTGACTACACAAGAATCCATGAGATCTTATTCATGTCCTTGTCGTTGTCTATCAGGTTGTCAGAGAAGGAGAAGCAGGTCTCAGATCTGCAGGGTGAGCTGGCCGAGCTGAGGGACTCCCTGGAGCTTCATAGGAAGAAGAACAACGTAGGTTTCCTGCAGCGATTACTTGAACTGTGTAAGACCGTAGCTGCCCTGCAAGACATCACCCCCTCCCTTTGTGTGGTACCCCAAAACGCTCTCCCCTCACACTGGAGTTGCACACTGCGTACATGCATCCATACTGCCTTTTTTCCACTTAGTCACACTTGTTTTTCTTTTTGTTCATTTAATAACAAATGGGAAGCTGTCTCTCGCTAAGGTTGTATTCTCAACACGATTGTGCACATTAGTACAGATGTCTATTTTGATTTGGATTGCTGACGCTGTGTGTTGCATAACAGGGCTTCTAGCCTACTCTTGTTATGCTCTCTATTGGCCTTGACTGTTTCGGCCAGCTTGTCGGTGCTTGTTGGTGATTCAGAGCATTAGAAACTCACCTACCTAAACATACAGTTGTGTGAAAAAGTGTTTGCCCCCTTCCTGATTTCTTATTTTTTTGCATGTTTGTCACACTTAAATGTTTCAGATCATCAAACAAATTTAAATATTAGACAAAGATAACACAAGTCAACACAAAATGCAGTTTTTAAATGAAGGGTTTTATTATTAAGGGGGGGGGGGGAATCCAAACCTACATGGCCCTGTGTGAAAAAGTGATTGCCCCCCCCCCTGTTAAAACATGAATTAACTGTGGTTTATCACATCTTTGGAATGCTGAGTTCAATTTCTCTAGCCACACCCAGGCCTGATTACTGCCACACCTGTTCTCAATCAAGAAATCACTTAAATAGGACCTGCCTGACAAAGTGAGGTAGACCAAAAGATCCTCAAAAGCTAGACATCATGCTGCGATCCAAAGAAATTCAGGAACAAATGACAAACAAAGTAATTGAGATCTATCAGTCTGGAAAAGGTTACAAAGCCATTTCTAAAGCTTTGGGACTCCAGCGAACCACAGTGAGAGCCATTATCCACAAATGGCGAAAACATGGAACAGTGGTGAACCTTCCCAGGAGTGGCCGGCCAACCAAAATTACCCCAAGAGCGCAGCGACGACTCATCCAAGAGGTCACAAAAGACCCCAGAACAACATCCAAAGAACTGCAGGCCTCACTTGCCTCAATTAAGGTCAGTGTTCATGACTCCACCATAAGAAAGAGACTGGGCAAAAATGGCCTGCATGGCAGAGTTCCAAGACGTAAACCACTGCTGAGCAAAAAGAACATAAAGGCTCGTCTCAGTTTTGCCAGAAAACATCTTGATGATCCCCAAGACTTTTGGGAAAATACTCTGTGGACTGACGAGACAAAAGTTGAACTTTTTGGAAGGTGTATGTCCCATTACATCTGGCATCTGGCGTAAATAACACGGCATTTCAGAAAAGGAACATCATACCAACAGTAAAATATGGTGGTGGTAGTGTGATGGTCTGGGGCTGTTTTGCTGCTTCAGGACCTGGAAGACTTGCTGTGGTAAATGGAACCATGAATTTTGCTGTCTACCAAAAAATCCTGAAGGAGAATGTCCGGCCATCTGTTCGTGACCTCAAGCTGAAGCGCACTTGGTTTCTGCAGCAGGACAATAATCCAAAACACACCAGCAAGTCCACCTCTGAATGGCTTAAGAAAAACAAAATGAAGACTTTGGAGTGGCCTAGTCAAAGTCCCGACCTGAATCCGATTGAGATGCTGTGGCATGACCTTAAAAAGGCGGTTCATGCTCGAAAACCCTCCAATGTGGCTGAATTACAACAATTCTGCAAAGATGAGTGGGCCAAAATTCCTCTACAGCGCTGTAAAAGACTCATTGCCAGTTATCGCAAACGCTTGATTGCAGTTGTTGGTGCTAAGGATGGCCCAACCAGTTATTAGGTTTAGGGGGCAATCACCTTTTCACACAGGGCCACGTAGGTTTGGATTTTTTTTTTTCCCCTTAATAATAAAAACCTTCATTTAAAAACTGCATTTTGTGTTTACTTGTGTTATCTTTGTCTAATATTTAAATTTGTTTGATGATCTGAAACATTTAAGTGTGACAAAATAAGAAATCAGGAAGGGGGCAAACACTTTTTCACACAACTGTATATATTTGGACTTTGTTTTTTAATTTTTGTATCTACCGTGTATACATCTTCAGACATTACCTTATTTTAAATAGAAACTACTCCCAGAACATTGTTACAATACATATCTTGCATATTGTGCATGTTGCTTTGACCCACACAAGGTGCGAGACTGAGACTCTCAAGGCTATTTGCATTCTTATTTTTAGCTGTTGGTGAAAAGCCGAGTGCAGCGATCTTAAAATGAGAAATGCATCCGGATTGTTCTGTTACTTTACCAGTGTTATGTGAAGGGTCACTGAATGCATTTTTCCTGAGGCTGAACTGAAGGTAGTATCTCTCTGGAACTGACCAAAACAGGAGCTCCGGGAGAAAAACTGGAGTGCAATGGAAGCTCTGTCAGCCACCGAGTCCATGCTTCAAGGGAAACTCAGCAAAGCTGTCAAGGTTCGACATCCCACCTCAGTCTCCTTCACTCTAGTTCCGATCTGATGCATCCCCCCCGAAAATCTGTTTTTTTGCCATAATTGACCCAGTGAGAATTTTTATTTTATTTTTTATTTTTTATTTTTTTTGACACCATCCATAACAAAGCTGCATACTCATTTACCTCACTGTCCCCTCTGTTGTTTGCCCTCAATTGGCTTTGTGTTGAGCTCTTGATCTAAGCTACTCCCCTTTCTAAATCTCAGGCTTTACGAACTCAACAAATTTCTAGGCTGTAAGCTCTGAAATGTATGGAAGAGTTCCCCCTGCCCAGAGCTCAGACTGATGCTAGGAAATGAGTGTGCAGTGACCTAGAGATTGTTTCACTAGATGTCATTAGATTGAGATTCATGGTAATCATTTTTGCCACTTCCTGTCTTTCTGTCATGCGACTCATTTCTAGCATGTTTTTCCCCCCATTCTGCTTTCTGACATCCGTGCCGTCAATATCACCAGTTAATCGATGAAAATCTGTTTAATTCACTTTGATTTTAATGCGGTTTATTCTTTTTGAAGGAAATGTGATCCTTCAAACATTTGTTTTTTAATGGACATGCAACAGTGGCCTTATGTTTTCCAATGCTCCGTACTCGTGACTGAAAGATCTTTTTGTAAGAACGTAGTTCTTGTAGCTGAGATCCTAGACATAGAGTGGGCTACCAGATAGCCAGTCTATTTACAGTTCCAGTGAGCGTATATTTTTGCCCTCCTCCCCCTACATTAGGGAAGGTACACGCTAAACCATCGGCACCGCAGCTGCTCCTCTGCCATTTGAGTACAGTAGAAAGCACCTTCACAGAGCTGAGCCAGGGAGTTCCTTGGCAGCTGCTGTGTACTGTCAGTGCACGCCGGCTGTATTCAACTCTGTACAGTCGTCTCAGAGCTGCCTTTGACACGTGTGTTAATGTGAATAGTGGTTGGAGTGCCAGCTGGCTTGTGCTTGGCATACGTACTCCCTTCAGGCCTCAGAGTGACAGTGCATGATGCTTGCTTATTGTGGGAGGACTGATAGCTACCTTCTTATTTATTGAAGACTTTCAAGGTACTTTGTACAATTTCATGAAAGCAGATTGATGTGTTTGTGGTTAAAGGAGGACTGAAGCATGTGATGTGCTCTGAATCCGAGGTTGCTGACACTTGGTGGAGGCGTGGCCTGTTGAAGGATGCTGAGGTTTTCTTGTGCTAATTGAAAGTAGGAGCAAGATGGCGTTTATCCTAATGCTGTAGAATTCTAATTTAGGATTATGTTAAGTGAGTCATTCCTGTGACATTGATTGGAGCGGCTCGATGGATGAATATCATGGAGAGTAGAAGGAAAAGCGCTTGTCATATCTCTCTCTGATGACCTCGTCTTCGAAGAGACTCAACTATTTGAACAGTCGGTGCTCAATCTCTCCTCCTCTCTCTTTTTCTTTCCTCTCCCATCGCCTTGTAGGAGAACCAGACGGCTCTGGCAGTGTGTCAGGCCGAGTGTCGAGAAGTCCTGCACAGATCTCTGCCCCATGTGCCTCTGCCCAGTGAGCAGGTATATTTAGTATTAGATTTTGAACCCCGTGCAAATCTAACTGTGTTACTTCTCACCCTGTGTCATGATGTCCCTCTTTACTTTTGATCTCTTCTTTTCACCAGAACCATCAGGAGTGGCTCCACAGATTTGAGGGGGCAGTAGCTGAATGCTCAGCTGCGCAATCCACCCCTGCATCAGGGGACTCTATGGTAAATAAAGTGGAAATGTAAATCTTTCCTCTTCAACTGAAGAAATCTTTAGCAACAAATACTTCTCTCTCTCTCTCGCACTAGGGACTGGTTGAGAAGATGAAAGAAGCTGAGGAAACCCAAAGGATTCTCCAGAAGGACTGTGAGACGTACAAGAAGGTGTTGGCAGAGACGGTGAGATGAGGTTTTTAACGTTTGTGCTTCTAAAGCGGTGTCTGTTGCCAAAACTGAGCCGTCGTTCCTGCTTCCTCCACAGGAGGGCATCCTGCAGCGCCTCCAGAACAGCGTGGAGCAGGAGGAGACTCGCTGGAGGGGGAAGCTGGATTTATCACAGGGCGAGCTCAGAGAGGTATGTGTTCAGGTTCAGCAGGAGCCAACTCCCAGCTTGAATATCAAAACACTGAATATTGCACAGTGTGCTCAATTCATTGCATCATTCTTCTGTCTCTTCCCTTAGATGAGCCTGAAAGTCACAGCTCTGGAGCAAGAGATCGAGAGACTAACTGATGGAGCAGAGTTGGAAAATGTCAGTCCACTTAAAACACACTTTTCTTTTTTTTTTTTTTTTTATGCCTTATTTATAAAGCTTATTTAAAAGAAAAACATTTCAACACCACCGTTGCATATTGTAAGTGCAGCTGGATTTTCTGAGCCCTGCGGTTGTCGTTTCCTAAGCCCTTCTGAATTCTCCTTCACATCTTACCTCGACCTCATGATGTGTTCCATCAAGGTCAAGGAAAAGCTTAACACACTCGCATTCCTTCTAAGACTTACTGTAATTCAAACATTCTGCCATTTTAACTCATGTTTGTCTCGGTCATGAGTAACTCTGAACCTCTGTTGTGCTTTGTAGCTGAGGAGAGAAAAGCAGCACTTGGAGTCTGAGTTGGAGAGAGCGGAGCGTGAGAGTGCCATCTATGTAACAGAAGTCAGAGAGGTGAGCAGAAACACGACTCCTCCCTTGTGATCCTCCGTCACGTCATAAGAGAACGAGCTCCGTTGTGTTCATGGCATGTTTTGTGACATCCTGTTTATTTGGGGCATATGAAATCCACTCGACACAGACACTAAACATTGTCGAACTGGAAGCACACACAATCTTCACACAGTCCGCTCTTGCAGTGACTTGGTTACACCACTCAACAGACTAACTTAATAATTTACAGTCATGCACAACAGGATCCTGTGCTTTATGTATCACTACACGGCTCCGCTTAATAGCATTCCCTGAGTACACTGTGTGCTGGTAGTGACTCACAGACTCCCATTAAACACATAATCTCAAACTTAATTTCAGCTCAAAGATCTGTTGACTGAGTTGCAGACCAGACTCGATGGCTCATATACAGAGGCTGTCAGACAGAATGAGGAGCTGACTTTGGTAAGCGGGGCTCACCCTCCAGCTGGAGCGCCTTTAAAACCTTTCCCTTATTGCACTCGACGGTGGCTCTACACTGACTGCTACAACACGGGGCTCTCCATCTTCTGCTTGTGCGGGTCATCATCCATAACCTCAGTGAACCAAAATAAGATGACCTACTCCTGAAGTTACGAGTGGAGTAGGTTCTCTTATTTTAGGAGCCAGAACATGTGACTTAGTAAAGTAGCAAACATCAGAGGTTGAGAGTGATGACTCGCACTCTGTGGTACTTACAAGACTAACTCTTCCTTCTCTACACTGGCACTCCAATTCATCTCACTTTGACTTGTCAGGCATCTAACAAATGGCTTTCTCGTCAACTTGCCTTCCTTCTGCGGAGTCCCAAAAGAGTGCTTAATTTTGCCGATCGTCTGCTTTCATTTTACTCCACACTCTGAACTGCACACTATTAAACCCTCTTCAGCCTTCTCACAAACCCTGTCTGTCTGTTAGTCCCAGCGAGCCATAATGTCGCTGGACAATTTTCTGTGGTTTGTTTTGTGAAGTGCTGGTAGTCTGTAGATTAGTGATGAAATATTGTCTGTGTTCAGACCGACAATAGCGCCATCAGAAATGTAGCCTCCTGATTAATTACGAGGACTTTAAAAAAAAAAAAAACCTCAAAAGAAACGACACAGGGTTGCCAAACTTTTGCTTTCATTACTACAGTGTCCGTAAGGTGAATGATGTAATTTAACTCTTCACAACGACTGCTTTACTAACTTTACAGAGTTGGTCCTGTTACATGACCCTAGTATGGCATCTGAAATGCCTTTTTAAAACATGAATGCATTTCTCAAACTGGACTTCCAGGATGGTGAGTCATCCTCTCACCTGTACCTTTAGCAACATGCCCACACCAATGCAGCCACTTGCACTCTTTTTATACAGTGCTATTTTGGTTTGAACATTGTCTGAGTACGTTAAATCAGCGCAAATGTTCAGCACTTTAATGTATGCATTTAAAGGGACAGTTCACCCCCAAAACAAAAAAGGCTGCAATGTATCTTTCCTGAAATCATGACTAAGTTACTGCTCATTTCCATAATCCACAGACCTTGTTGAAACTCACAATATGTATTTTTGATTTTGGGGTGACCTGTCGCTTTAATTTTGACAGAAGGCTCTGAATACATGTTCTTTGTACATATGAAATGGTACATGTATAACGGGATTCACAGGTGAGACTGGGAGGCTCTTATGTGCTGTAGAGCATGTGCTAAGTGTCTGTTTTGATTCCAGCTGAAAACCCAGCTCACCAAGACTCTGTCCAAGCTGGAGAGCGAAGAGAATGAGCGGCAAAAGGTGGCTGGTGACCTGTCTACGGTAAGAATACTTGTTTATATTTGATGAAACTGTTATTATACACTGCTGATATGGATCCAACTCCAGGCCACGGTGTAAACAAGTTACCATGGTTATCTATGCGGTCCTTTTCCCAGGCCCAGCAGTCTCTTGATCTGATCCAGGGGGAGCTCTCAAAAGTGACGGACAACGCTGGTGACCTGATAGAGAATAGCAGCCTGTCGTCACAGAGAGTAAGAGCCGCGGGCAGTGTGGGTGTACGTCTTTGCATGTATGGTAGTAAGGTGGTCACACTGAGCCCTAAACCTGCCGTTGTGTCTCTGACAGGAAGAGATTGACAGAAAGGAGAAGATGGCTGCAGGACTGAACCAAACGGTCAAAGAACTGCAGCAGCTGCTACAAGGCATCAGCCGGCAACTCACCAAGAGACAGGAGGGGGTAAGGCCTGTTATTGTGCTGTTCTCACAGCCCAATAGAACCTTATGTCGTAGGCTTTCCACTCACAACAGTGTATCTGAACAATATACATGTTGTGCTTTCCTCCAGGAGGCTGACAAAGAGCTGCCCAAGGTATAGTGAGAGGAGGACAAACGCCCACGCAGCCACCCTGACTGCACTACAGAGACCACCTTTGACCTTTTGGTCTCATCACTACCACCGTCGCACATACTGTCACACCCAGCCGTCCCCTTTTCCCAACCACCTTCACCTGTACTAGAGGCAGCCGCCAGCAAACCGCTCATAGTCTGATTGTTGGCCGTAAGGGAGCAGGTAGAGGTTACTGTTAATTCGAAACACTCCAGACACTGTACCACAACACACTACTCCACTCCCACCACATTCCTCTTTTTCAGCAGCATCGCCAGTTAATTTTTATTCTTAACTTAAAAGTGACATCCAATATATTTTTAAACTGTGTGGCAACCATTCCTCTGTTTAAAAACACCTTTTGTTTTACAATGACCTCCTTTTGAATACTGCAGTAGTATTTGTTATTTGTCAAGAGAGGGCAGTGATACAAATTTCCAACTTGTTGAAACAAACTTTGGGGTTTCAGTCCTCTTTTTTTCTTAACTTAAAGGTATGTATTGTTTAAATGTATCAGTTAGGACCTGCTGAAACACACTATGTTGTTGCTCTGTTTGCCTCCTGACCAGAAAACTATCTCAAACTGTGGATCATTGTGCATTCATGAATTTATAGCTCCATGCATACCTTGGCTCAGTGTTGGGTGGGAGAAGGGAGGTCAAAAGGGGTCTCGGCATATCAGACGGGTCACTACGTGACTAACTATGGAGATGCATGGACATATTGTAGTCAGGTTTGTACTGCAGCTCCAGAGAGAAGTAAGCCTGTGACCCTGGCTGTGAGAAGAGAAGGCCAGGTCAACAGTGTAGAGGTTTTTAATCCTTCTGCAACTACTCTAGGAATAAGCGTCCCATATCATTTGTAATCAACACTCGCTATATTGTTGCTAAGTTCATTAACACTGAAAATTTTGTTCTTTTTGTAACCGGCGATGTTAATAAAAGGGATGCTTGATGAGTCTGACCGGCATCCTGTGTTTAATCTTTCTCCTCCACTGCACTTCTCGCTCCCCACCACTGGGGGGGCAGCATGCAACTTTAGTTGACACTTCACACTAATTTGATTCATAACCTTGAAAAACCTGAATGTGCAAAGGAAAATTACAAAGCTTCTGCTCATGCTGGCAGGTGGAAATATTGCTTGGCAGAACATTAGTCTGATTTCCCTGGACATGATAAACAGGTTTGTCATGTCCTGTTATTTCAGGTAAGTGGTTTGTATAACAGGAGAGGAGGTGACACACTGTGCAGCCTAAATCATGGAAACGTTTGGGGTGTGACCAGTTTCCTGTGATGATAGCGAGCTGTATGATCTCTCAGAACAAGAGGCTGTTTTCTCAGCTTTACAAAACACTTCCCATCAGTAAGAAGACATAAAAGGAAGTTTCAGCTGGTAGCTGAAATAATCAAACGCTTACCCAGAACAATGTGTGACACTTGTTTGTGGTCACTTGTTGATGCTGTGAGTGGCTGAGTGTGAAAGTGTGTTGTAAACCCAGATGTGCCATGGGTGAGCTTTTCCCTTTTTAGTGTTTTAGATTCATCGTCGCCACTACCAGCTTTCTATTTGAAAGGATAAACGCACTGTATGACTGGCCATAACTTGACTTTGGGTGTCTTTACAGAAAGCTCTTGCTGTCATCTTTCGCATGTTAAAAGGCCTTTGAAACAGGACTATTGTGCGGGGGGGGGGGGTGGTGGTCAGGTCAGAGGCGTGAGCAACATGGGATCAGCACATTCCTCGCATTCACCCACACCGTCATGCTGCAGTCAGCTGATTGGAGATCTGGCATTTACCCTCATGGAAACCTTGCGACAAAACAGGCTCTGTATCTTTAACACACTCGTCATTAACTGGATTACACAGGGAGTGCCTGCTGTGTTATTTATATATATATATATATATATATATATATATATATATATATATATGTATGTATGTATGTATGTATGTATGTATGTATGTATATATATATATATATATGTATATATATATGTATATGTATATATATGTATATGTATATATATGTATATATATATGTATATATATGTATATATATGTATATATGTATATATATGTATATGTATATATATATATGTATATACAGTCCCCTGTAATGTAGCTGATTCCTAATATAGAGGCATGGACTTAAATGTCTTGATCCCTTTGAATAAAATAAACAAGCTGTTTGCAATACATTTCACTGTATGATGATTTCTAAAATTACAAGTTTATGATGTTATACAGTTCTGTCCCTTTTATCCCATATATTATGTCTCAGTTCTTGGAATAGCCTGTCGTCCTATGTGCGTCAATAATGAAAGATTTCAAATTATGGGGAAAGACAAGCAAAAAATCTGCCTGGGGTTACACTTTGTGACAGCCTCCTGACTTCCATAGAACAGCCTGACGTGTAAAGCCCGAGCAGTGAGGAAGTTAATAGGGGCTTTGTCTTTCCTATGTCATCATTGCTCATACTATTGATCTCAATTGCGCAATTAGGCTTGTTGCAGTAGGCCTCTGCTCTTCGTGCTTCTTGCCTGGTGACATTTAACTCCTCCTACATTTTGCTCTCAGACTTCGCCAGCACAACTTTCAGCAAAGGAGCCCACTCCCTGCATCTGCTCTCCATCAGTGTGGTATGTGCTAGAGAGCCTTTGATCTCCCCCCCCCCCCCCCCCCCCCCCCCCCCGCGTCCATCTGTACACGGGCGCGGGGGGGGCGCCGCG